AGTGAGCCAACCTTGACTCCAATCAGTGTGATGATATTTGATGTGTTGCTGACAGCTGTCCTGCCCTTAAAAAACACACATCTGTTTTGGGTTTACTGGTTTCAAGAAGCACTGTCTGATGTGAACCATGCCTCGCAGAAAAGAGCTCTCAGAAGACCTACGATCAAGAATTGTTGACTTGCATGAAGCTGGAAAGGGTTACAAAAGTATCACCAAAAGCCTTGATGTTCATGTGTCCACGGTAAGACAGACTGTCTACAAATGGAGAAAGTTTAGCACTGTTGCTACTCTCCCTAGGCGTGGTCGTCCTGTAAAAATGACTACAAGAGCACAGCGCAGAATGCTGCATGAGGTAAAGAAGAATCCCAGAGTGTCAGCTAAAGACCTACAGAAATCTCTGGCACATGCTAACATTTTTGTTGACACATCTACAATAAGGAAAACATTAAACAAGAATGGAGTACATGGTAGGAGACCACGGAGGAAGCCATTGCTGTCCAAAAAGAATATTGCAGCACGTTTGAAGTTTGCAAAAGAGCACCTGGATGTTCCACAGCACTACTGGCAAAATATACTGTGGACAGATGAAACAAAGATTGAGTTGTTTGGGAAGAACACACAACACTATGTGTGGAGAAAGAAAGACACAGCACACCAACATCAAAACCTCATCCCCACTGTGAAACATGGCGGAGGGAGCATCATGGTTTGGGGCTGCTTTGCTGCCTCAGGGCCTGGACGGATTGTTGTCATTGATGGGAAAATGAATTCCAGAGTTTATCAAGACATTTTGCAGGAAAACGTACGACCATCTGTCCGCCAACTGAAGCTCCACAGAGGATGGGTGATGCAACAGGACAATGACCCAAAGCATACAAGTAATTCAACAAAACAATGGCTGCAACAGCACAGAATACGCCCTCTGGAGTGGCCCAGTCAGAGTCCTGACCTCAACCCCATTAAAATGCTGTGGCATGACCTTAAGAGAGCGATTCACACCAGACATCCCAAGAATATTGCTACACTGAAACAGTTTTGTGAAGAGGAGTGGTCCAAAATGACTCCAGATCGTTGTGCAGGTCTGATCTGCAACTACAGGAAATGTTTGGTTGAGGTTATTGCTGCCAAAGGAGGGTCAACCAGTTATTAAGTCCAAAGGTTTACATACTTTTTCCTCCCTGCACTGTGAATGTTTACATGTTATGTGCAATTAAAACCATTGCAACATCTAATGTTTGTGTAGTATTATGTTCAGCAGACTGTGTTCTTCTATTGTTGTGATTTAGATGACGTTCAGAGCAGAGCACATTTTATGCCCAATTCATGCAAAACTCCACGTAATCCCAAGGGGTTCACATACTTTTTCTTGCAACTGTGTATTTTGAAATATATTGAATATGGCCAAAATTGAAGCATTTCAAATATATGTCAATATATTTTGGGAAGAATATTTTTAAAATTTATTTCAAATATATTTTTCTTCCATATGGGTATATACAGTATCTGGTGAGTTTCTGGAGCACTGGACTACTTTATCAAGAGCGCAGTGTTTTTTTTTTTTAATGAATGAACATAAAATTATTTGCATGAAAACAAATGCATGGACACTTTATTCAAGCACATTATTGCAGCACAAGATGTGTACATTTTAATATATGGACATTGGAAACGTAATTTTGTTTGTTTTTTTTGGAAATATTGTTTTTTCTAAGGGCATGCACAACATTGTATATATACAGTCAGGTCCATAAATATTGGGACATCGACACAATTCTAACATTTTTGGCTCTATACACCACCACAATGGATTTGAAATGAAACAAACAAGATGCTTTAACTGCAGACTGTCAGCTTTAATTTGAGGGTATTTACATCTAAATCAGGTGAACGGTGTAGGAATTACAACCGTTTTCATATGTGCCTCCCACTTGTTAAGGGACCAAAAGTAATGGGACAGAATAATAATCATAAATCAAACTTTCACTTTTTAATACTTGGTTGCAAATCCTTTGCAGTCAATTACAGCCTGAAGTCTGGAACGCATAGACATCACCAGACGCTGGGTTTCATCAATGGTGATGCTCTGCCAGGCCTCTACTGCAACTGTATTCAGTTCCTGCTTGTTCTTGGGGCATTTTCCCTTCAGTTTTGTCTTCAGCAAGTGAAATGCATGCTCAATCGGATTCAGGTCAGGTGATTGACTTGGCCATTGCATAACATTCCACTTCTTTCCCTTAAAAAACTCTTTGGTTGCTTTTGCAGTATGCTTTGGGTCATTGTCCATCTGCACTGTGAAGCGGCGTCCAATGAGTTCTGAAGCATTTGGCTGAATATGAGCAGATAATATTGCCCAAAACACTTCAGAATTCATCCTGCTGCTTTTGTCAGCAGTCACATCATCAATAAATACAAGAGAACCAGTTCCACTGGCAGCCATACATGCCCACGCCATGACACTACCACCACCATGCTTCACTGATGAGGTGGTATGCTTAGGATCATGAGCAGTTGCTTTCCTTCTCCATACTCTTCTCTTCCCATCACTCTGGTACAAGTTGATCTTTGTCTCATCTGTCCATAGGATGTTGTTCCAGAACTGTGAAGGCTTTTTTAGATGTCGTTTGGCAAACTCTAATCTGGCCTTCCTCTTTTTGAGGCTCACCAATGGTTTACATCTTGTGGTGAACCCTCTGTATTCACTCTGGTGAAGTCTTCTCTTGATTGTTGACTTTGACACACATACACCTACCTCCTGGAGAGTGTTCTTGACCTGGCCAACTTTTGTGAAGGGTGTTTTCTTCACCAGGGAAAGAATTCTTCGGTCATCCACCACAGTTGTTGTCTGTGGTCTTCCGGGTCTTTTGGTGTTGCTGAGCTCACTGGTGCGTTCCTTCTTTTTAGGAATGTTCCAAACAGTTGTTTTGGCCACACCTAATGTTTTTGCTATCTCTCTGATGGGTTTGTTTTGTTTTTTCAGCCTAATGATGGCTTGCTTCACTGATAGTGAGAGCTCTTTGGATCTCATCTTGAGAGTTGACAGCAACAGATTCCAAATGCATATAGCACACTTGAAATGAACTCTGGACCTTTTATCTGCTCATTGTAATTGGGATAATGAGGGAATAACACACACCTGGCCATAGAACAGCTGAGAAGCCAATTGTCCCATTACTTTTGGTCCCTTACCAAGTGGGAGGCACATATGCAAACTGTTGTCATTCCTACACCGTTCACCTGATTTGGATGTAAATACCCTCAAATTAAAGCTGACAGTCTGCAGTTAAAGCACATCTTGGTTTTTTCATTTCAAATCCATTGTGGTGGTGTATAGAGCCAAAAATGTTAGAACTGTGTCGATGTCCCAATATTTATGGACCTGACTGTATTAATTTGTGTTAATCCAGATGGCAGACAACAGTGTTAGTGCATGAATGGAACAGTGTGTGGTGATGAGGTTTCTTATGAATAATGGTGTAAAACCCATGGATATCTACAGAAGACTTCAAGCACAATAGGTGATGAGATGCTCAGGTGCAGTAAGACATTTGGATGTTTGGATGTTTCAAATGTTTCAAAGATGGAAGTACATCCGTCAGTGACCATCCCAGCAGTGGTAGTTCCCAGCAGTCATTCCTGTGAACATTCAGCATGTGGAACACCTGATCCTGGATAATAAACCAGCACAGAAGAGTTGAAGCCTGCACTGTGTTGAAGGAGCATTTTGACAGGGAAGACCAAGATTTTCTGGATCGCATCATTACATGTGACCTGGACACATCATTTCACTCTGAAATCAAAAAGAGCATCAAAGCAGTGGAAGCACGTGATGGCATGTGTTTTCTATGACAAATGCATAATTATTCTACTCTGTGGTGTGACTATCAACAGTGAATATTACTGTCGTGTTTTGAGTGATGTGCATACGTGTCTGTGGAAAAACCACCCTGGTTTGACCACTAAGGGCATCCCGTTTCTACAGGACATTGCACAAGCTCATACTGCTCACCGCACCACATGCACATTAGAGCAACTCAGCTGAGAGGTATTGCCAAATTTTCCTTCCAGCCCAGACCTTGCTCCGAGTGATTTTCACTGGTTTGAACCCCTAAGAGTTCCTCAGAGGTCAGCATTCCAGCACTGATAACGAAGTGAAGCAGGCTGTCCTAGGATGGTTCAGGAATACTGACAAATTTTTCTATGCCGAAGCTATCCAGGCATTAGTTAAATGCTGGGATAAGTGTATACATGTAGCAGAGGAGTATGTTGAAAAATAAATGCAATTTTCACTCCTCGAAATTTGTTCTATTATTTTATAAACTCAAAAGTCCTGAATTGACTTGAATGCCCCTCATATATTCATAGCATTAAAAAACAACACTAAAAACAAAGAGCTAATGAGTCAACAAAACTGTAAAATAGATTTCTAAATATACAGTGACCCCCATCCTGTGTGTAAACAGCAAAAGTGTCCATCAAAATATTCATAAATAAAGTGCAAAGTGTTATCCACCAAACAAATAAACACCATGACATCCAAGTCTTGAATTTGCAGTTATCGCGGAAAGAATGCCCAACGCTAGGAGGTAATTATCCATCTTACTAGAACCTCTACCTCATGGATAGAGGCAGACAGCATGTGTGTAGCAAGCCCAGAGATAGATGGATCTCTCCCTCTGTTTTTCAATCACACTGCAGCCTGGTTTACAAAAGCTCTGGTACAGCAGTCCTTTACTAGAGCCTTTGTCTTTCTGGTTATGTGCCACTCAGTAACGTGATAACCAAACAGGATAAAAACAGGAATCTCATAGTGAATTGCTAAAAACCTTTTTTCAAAAAGTATTTGCATACAACACCAAATAAAATAGCTAAAAACACTTACAAGCCAAGCCACAGCTGTCTGGCTAGAGAGCAGCATGTCTGGTCAGCAAGCTCAAAACTGCACCCTACCTGTGTTTCAACCAATTTGACATCATCAGGATCTGGCTTACACATATTGATTGCTTACACATACACTATATTGCCAAAAGTATTGGGACACCCCTCCAAATCATTGGATTCAGGTGTTCCAATCCCCTCCATGGACACAGGTGTATAGAATCAAGCACCTAGGCATGCAGACTGCTTCTACAAACATTTGTGAAAGAGTGGGTTGCTCTCAGGAGCTCAGTGAATTCAAGCATGGTACCATGATAGGTTGCCACCTGTGCAATAAGTCCATCCATGAATTTCCACGGTCAACTGTTAGTGGTATTATAACAAAGTGGAAGCAACTGGGAACAACAGCAACTCAACCACAAAGTGGTAGGCCACGTAAAATGGCAGAGCGGGGTCAGCACATGCTGAAGCACACAGTGCGCAGAAGTCGCCAACTGTCTGCAGAGTCAATAGCTAAAGACCTTCAAACTTCATGAGGCCTTCAGATTACCACAACAACTGTGTGTAGAGAGCTTCATAGAATGGATTTCCATGGCTGAGCAGCTGCATCCAAGCCTTACATCACCAAGTGCAATGCAAAGCGGCAGATGCAGTGGTGTAAAGCACGCTGCCACTGGACTTTAGAGCAGTGGAGACGTGTTCTCTGGAGTGATGAATCACGCTTCTCTGTCTGGTAATCCTATGGACATGTCTGGGTTTGGCGGTTGCCAGGAGAATGGTACTTGCCTGACTGCATTGGGCCAGGTGTACAGTTTGGTGGATGGGGGGTTATGGTGTGGGTTGTTTTTCAGGGGTTGGGCTTGGCCACTTAGTCCAAGAGAAGGGAACTCTTAAGGCATCAGCATACCAAGACATTTTGGACAATTTCATGCTGCCAAGTTTGTGGGAAGAGTTTGGGGATGGCACCTTCCTGTTCCAACATGCCTGCGCACCAGTGCACAAAGCTACATCCTATGGGATGAATTAGAGCGGAGACTACAAGCCAGGATTTCTCGTCCGACATCAGTGCCTGACCTCACGAATGCACTTCTGGAAGAATGGTCAAACATTCCCATAGACACACTACTAAACCTTGTGGACAGCTTTCCCAGAAGAGTTAAAGCTGTTATAGCTGCAAAGCAAACTCAATATTTAATCCTACGGACTAAGACTGGTAGGCCATTAAAGTTCATGTGCATGTAAAGGCAGAAGTCCCAATACTTTTGGCAATATAGTGGATATTATATATGGAGTGTGAAGGAGGGTGTGACCACTCTATACTCCCAATGTGTACTCTAAAATGTGTGAATAAAAAAGGGATTCTTGGTTCAAATACAGTATGTTACAAAATATGGTCAAGCTGGCCAAGTGCGTCAAAGTAATCTCTCTCTGGCCAGTCCTTACTCTACTCCTCAAAATGCCAAAGACTTACTCTTTAATAACATACTTCAGTAGACATATACTGGGGAATTCAGTAAAGCCATAATGGTGATTTAGTGGCAGTAATTCACTTAAAATCTGTCTGCACCTAAGTCAGGCAAGAATTTGGGCCAGTGTTGGTAACATTACCAACACAGATGACAAATTCAGGCAGTTCTTACTACCGCCACTGTAACAACTTGTCACTATGGTAGCTACAGATTTTGAAATAATTACCCCCAGTTCACAGACTGGAAAATTTGAAGTGATTAAGACCGGTTCTGAGCTGGGGTACAGAGATAAATCAGTACTGAGAGTGGGGGCTATTTCTGTGTTGAGAAGCTTTCATGAGTGTAACAGTGCTTTATTTTCAGCCCCATTCAGCTGTCATCCAAGAGATATCCTGGCCAAAAGCTTCATGCAAAACAAAGGTGCTGGGGATAGTGGTGATGTCATTAGCTAAATATGGCAATACCCACTTTGTCACTTTAGTGGGAACTGAGAGACCTTTTCCCTATCAAGTCTGCTTTACATTTAATTGACAATGCATGGCAATTGGTGGGTTTGAAAGCTGCTTCTGGATTGAATAGCAGCTATGGATCTGCTAACTACAGTGCTCTGCCAATCAATAGACCTGATGGGGAATTAGTCTGTTAGTTCCCCATAAAGCTCAGCCCACCCCATTACAAAAATCTGCAGCCATGGGCCTCTCATTGACAGATGCAGTGGCCAGGGAAGGAGGCAGTGCACTGAGAACCTCTGTGCAGGCACCAACAGATTTATGTAGCTTTCTCTGACAGGTACATGAATCTGGTGAATGCCCCAACACTTCTGGTGCTGTGCCCTGACAGAATTCTAAAGGGTGTCTATGACACACTGTATGACTTCCCCCTAAGTTTCCAAGTGTAAAATGAGCATTCAGTGCCTGATAAAAAGGGGGGGGGGGCATCTGAAACTGCCAACTAGTGGTGCAGCCCTTTCGATTATATTATTGCAGTTAAAGGTGGTTGAAGCTTCTGCTGCCTGCACCTATCTATTCATGCTTCACATATACTTTATACTATATTTGAAAAAAAAATAGATTTGAAAAATTGCTTAAAACATATACGTAGAACACATTAAGGCTAAAACTGACTTCAAAACCATTAAATGTTCCCTTTCAGTAAAGCAGATCACCTTCAGATATTATAAAAAAAGCATTACTTATGTTAATGGAAAACCGCTTTGTCCAAAAGTATCTGACCCTATCATTTGTAGAAAGATTCATTTATGGCATATTCACCCATGGTGTCTAGTACAGTGTTTTCTTTAAACACCAACTGTGTTCTGAGATCCATTTTGGAAAGAACATTTAGGTCACAAATGTTAATTCCATCAATTTTATTGAATCTTTCCTGCTTTAACGTACAGTGACTATATCCATCTTCTTTATTCCCCTGCACTAATAATCTATTATTGCTGATATCTATTCAGCTGATAAGAGCATTGTCCTTGACTGAGAACTGACTTTTCTAGAAAAGGAAAAAGCAGACAGCCAAATACTGTGTGCACATACATCTGAGATCACCTGTCTGCCTGCATTATTACACCCATTGACCTCTGCTGTTGTTTGAAAAGAGGTGTACATTATTCTTGCTGTGATTGTGATTTCTCATTGTGTAACAGGTGACCCCTGGTCTCAACATGAAGTTTTTTACTTGCTTTATTTTGTAGATAAAATTTGAACATGCATATTTTTCTGATGACTTAACGTTGATTGTAAAACTGGAATATCTACGGTTTATTTGTGCCACAAGGATTTAGCAACCTTTACTGCATTTTTGTGGCAGTATCACAAACTGCTGGAATTTTTCAAAAAAGAGAGCCAAAAGGCATGATCTAAAGGAGGTCATGAATGCATATGTTTTAAGTCTGAAAGTAAAAGTGCACATTCCATCTTCCTTCAGTGCTCTCTGATACAGAAGGGCTCATGTACACGAGCAGCTCCTAAACTTGAGTTTAGGAGCTTTTGACATTTTTTTGCCAAAGTTCCTAAACTGAACTCCATAAAAGCCTGTGTCCATGTACACATAGGCTTTAGCAGAGGTTAGGAGCTGCCGCATTTAGGTGAGGTTAAACCTCCCTCTCCTGTATGCGGAAGAATTACGTTCAGGATAGGAACGTTTTGACCGGCGACCGCGGAAAAAAAAAAAGAAACACGGCAAAAATGCAGTACCATGGTTGCCGCATTTTGCATTTTCCCGCAGCCGGCAGTCAGGGTAGGAGTCTAAAGGTGCTGCACTTATGCACTTTTCTTGTATTTCAGAACTGTGACCAATAAACAAACCCTGGGGTAAAAGTGAAAGTACTTTTTCCTTTACCCTATAGCTATACTTTAAAGTAAGCTTTTTACAAAACCTTGGCATTTCAAAGAGATAATTATGGATGGATGAATCAGTATGCTGAACACACCCCTTTGCATCAAATTAGGCTGATTTGGGAATTCTTTCCAGCAAGTGATCCAATCATAGAGAGGTTCATTCTAGCCCAGGTCCCATGCCCATTCTTGCTGAGCAGAGGTCAGCATGTAAATTGACAAAGAGTTTATTGCCCTTAAGAATGTAGCATATTGCTGAAGTGTTAAGTTGTCACACTGCCTTATATGCCCTTATCTGGCCTTTAAAAAGTTACCCATAAAGTCATGCACCAACCAAGTTATAATTGTAATACATAATTTTCTGTAAGTCCATTAACTGACTGACATCTGGAAAAGGCACCACGAAGAAGTAAAACGGTAATGGGTCACCAATCCATTAACTCCAGTAACATGCAGTCAATAATCTGACCTGGGAAATATATCCAAGTTCAGGGTTTATCATATATTCACCATTCACCAAAGCAAAATCTATTTTACATAGCCATGGATAGCAGGACCAACAAGAGATCTAATCATTTTCCACTCCACTCAATCTAAGCTTTTGGATTGACACATACTTAAATAAATTACAGTTGTTGGATACACAGGCCATAAACACCACAATAATGTACTTTTCTTCTCACTACTGAGACCTTACAGTAGGTTGTAGATATTTTGTCTGGCAATGATAAATTGCAATGTACGATATATGACAGTGTAACAGTTACAACAGAATGACATGTATGACAGTGACAGATGTATGATGTGTGACAGTGTGAAACATGCAGAGCCATGCTGGTATGTTTTCATCGTTTTTACTAAAAGAGTGTAATTAGGTTTAATAATATTAATAAAGCATTGAGCAAACTAGCCAAAATCATTAAGTGTAGTTAACTGTATTAATGACTAAGAATGCTATATAATATTTATATTTAAATAAAAATACAAACCTGATTGAAATGCTAACTATTTCACAATCTACCCAGCACTAAAAAAATGTGTCTGGCGTTAAGTTTTAATGATATTCTAAATGAGAATATGAACACGTTGTTATCCAAAATGAGTAGCGTGGAGTCACCCTTGTGAATGAAAGTGACCGCTTTTGATCATTAGAAGTACTGAAGATAGTTTTTTTAACATGTTAGAATATCACTGAAGATGAAGAGCAATCATTTCCTTTTCGGTATATAAATTAATAATCCTTTCACCATGTACACAGCACAGAAAATTGGAAACTGGTTAGGAAGAAAAGTTGTGGTAACTCTCTCTTCTCACCTTTTTATTGGTGTAATATGTTTTCTCACCCCTGCTCTATGTGGTTCACCCAAACCAAATATATATGATTTCCCTGCTTTAATC